AAGGCGCTTTACAAAACCAAGCGTCTGCAGATGACCATGAATGGTTAATTTCGAAACGTTAAGCCCTTGTCCTACTCCCAGAGCAGTGATGTGCCGATTTGCTTCGGTTAACATTTTGAGTATCGTTTAAACTGATAACTGATGATAGTCTCTCTAAGGGTTGCCGGTCTTCGAAGGCAAATTCACTCTGTTTAAATCCCGCAAACTAGTCATGCACTGTACGTTCCTCTAGAGCATGGTCTACTCAAACGTCATATATCTTTCATACGGCTTGAGCCGCATTCTAGGCCTCGCGGGAATAGAAATACTTCAGATGTCAAAAATGCGCGTAGTAGTTCTCCATTTTCATACGAGTCCTGTACAGAAAAATTTCGACAGATCTTGACAGAATCCTAACAGGAATATAGAGGAGGACCTACTCTTTCAGAAAACATATAACTTTATCGGGTTGGGTCCTTGATCTTTTGTACAACGGTTGATAAATCCGGGGTGTCAAAAATCGGCGGAAACTTTTCGGACAACCCAATACTATAGTTCTCTGTCGGGCTTGATCCTTTTTCAAATTAGCGACGAATATTGATTAAATATTGTTTGCATATGTGAGGTCTTGCTTCCTGCTGCATCGAGTTTTGAGCTTCACTAAATCGTAGCGAGCCTCAAAATTGTGATGGAGCTAATGGCTAGTGCTCTAGCATAGTAGGCTTTTGGGTCCTTAGATAATGATCCAAAATGAGATTTTTAATTTTGAATGTTTTTTCTGTCCTTCCTGCTTTGACGTACGCCTCGGGGACCTGGACTCTTCGAAAGCAGGATCAGCATGCTGTCGGCATTACTCAACGCGCTTTGGAAAGAACGATGCTGGGAATTTCGCTATACACGCAAAGGCAGAAGGGATTCTAGAGTTCAGGGCGCGCCAAAGAACGAAAATCAGGGATGCTGTAGATTACGTCAAAAATCGAAGATCAGGTGGGCCGGGCGGATCAGGCGGCTACTGAATGGATCCCATGGGACATTAGACGTAATCCAGGACGGCCGCCAACCAGATGGTCAGACTTCTTCACGAAAGAACGAAAGGAATGTTGAACTCCTTGTCCCTGAAGCGAGGACGATTCACTGGACCACTCTGGCTCGTGACAGGGACGAAGGAGACGTTACTGTCGTCGACGAGGAAGTCGACGACCGGACCGGAAGTCAGGTGATACAGGTGATACAGATGAAATTTTTTATCATAAACCTTCAATGTTATTTTGGTTCCATGATTGAAAGGATCTCTATCTCGAGCACTTCTGTCCAATCGAAGTTTTTCTCTTCCTTATCTGCCCCTATACTTTCTGAAAAAAAGCTCGAGGCTGCCGAATTTATGAGCAGGGTATTGCTGACTCTCGCCAAGAAGAATTTTTGTGTTCCGGGATATATACTTTTTTGAGGTGCCCTGTTCCACACTACGTGGTGAACTTTTGACTTCTCTGAGTAAGTCGTGAACGTTGCACTGGAACGGTGCAGTCTTTGATAGTTTGCACTCTAGAGCTGCTTGACACAGATCGCCTGCTTCCTTCCAAACTAGCCCTTTAACGACTATTGGATGGATGAGTGCAGGTGTCGCGGTTCATGGCCACCCTTTAGACGCGATCTGCATCTAAAGGGTGCACTCCACCTCACAAACCTCCACGCTCACCGGACCACCACACCCTACCAGCGCCCCGGCCAGGAAGGCGGACGAAACCCCCGAAGACCAAAGGGTATCGGCTGGGGAAGGCCCACAGACCTTGCCATGGCGACTCCTGCCATGGACTCCGCGACGGGATCCCTGCCCCCCACACAAGGACCAGCTGTAGCTGATAGCGGCGACACAACCTACACCTACAGCCAGAGTGCCCTACCTCCCTTACTTCTCAGGGCCAGTACAGAAGTAGGAGATAATGGTTTATTACACTACTACGTAATGCACTACAACTAAGCTACAACTTCAAGATACAAAAAGGGATACTACACAAGAAAGATAAGACCCACGGGCCCAGAGCCAAGGAATATCACACGAGGAGAATTAAGACTATCATGAATAACACTATCATGAACACAAATAAACACATCCAAGCAAACATGCGCAAGCAGCACAAGCACGTCAAAGCGAATACACACATGAGGAAAAGCATGTATACAAAGAGTAAGTACACGACACTCACCTGTCCCTCGATCTTCAGGCACCTTCCGAGGCGAGCTCCTTCAGCTGTCCAATCCAGGCCCCCATTGACCTCGGCGGTCTTCTTCCCTTCCTTCCTCCTCAGTATCCGACAAGTGACAACTTGCGTCCTCAGTGAGGGGCAATTCGGATACTGGTTGGGCTTACACTGGTGCTCCGTTGCCTTATAGACAACATCACAGCGTTACCCAGCTATACCGACCATCAGCCGGCAGCCAGCCGGTCGCAGTGCAGGACAGGTGCCGACTAGTTAGGCTAGGTGAAGGAACGCGCATAACGCGCGCATACTCGCCGCGTGGTGGCGGCCGAGCAAAGATGGGTCGGGGTGCGCAGTGCGCTCGGCGGCCTCGCGTCCGCGACACTCTTAAGGAAAGCGAGAAGCCTGCTTAGGGGCTGAGGGAGGCCACGGTGCCCCACCAGGGACAATAAACATCGGTCCCCCAGATTTAAGGTCAGTCAAATAAAACCCCCTGAACACGGCTAAACAAACTTAGCCCTCTTGCCGCAATGCCTGCACACAATGCCCTTCCTAAACTAGGTTCATGTCGTGTCGTGAGGGAAGGAAGGAAACGAGAGAGTAGAGATCTTGAAGCTAAGAGGGAGAAAGATGAAAACGCGAATAGTGCCTTAAGGACATACACTGAATGCGCATCATGCGCGGCTCTGAGCACCATATAAACAAGTAAACAAATAAAGATGAAAAAATGACGTAAAATACTAACGCATCAAGCAATCAGAGACTACATAAGAAAATAAGTGAGGGCGCTAGGAGCAACTTACTATCACACCCTCGAGAAAACCTAAAGGTAACTTAAAGAGGAAAAATCAAGCGTAGAACATGACTGCTACACGATGGATGACCTGAATTGTCGCTGCCTTCGCTGTCTACAATCGACGACCAACTGCTGACCACTTGACTGCTTGCATTGATGACACGATGTTGACTCTGACGTTGACATTGAACTCGATGACGTTGACGCGACCGCGGCTTCTGAAACTTCCAACGACCGAACTCGACATCGACCAACACCATCTTGCCCACGAGCAATCGTCGTCCTTGACCACTCGACTCGTTGACCACTGACTCGACCAACTTCCTCGGACAACCAACCACTTGACTAACGAATCGTGTGCACTATAAGCGTGCACTTTAACTTTAGCAGACAGGGTGTTGTCTGCTGCTAACCTTCAAGGGTGTTCGTCAGCGAGTCGCTCTTCTCAGAAGTCCGATAAGGAGTTCTAGTTGGAGCGACCCAATGTAACGAGCAAGCCTTGTCAGTTGTGCATAAACAGCCATGCACGATAGAGCACTGGTTAAAAAAAGTTCTGATATCCATTGTGTCAGAAATACACAACTACCCTTATACTGTTCTTCCCCCTGGAGGATGATCGCAAGCTCTCCCATATATTTGACAGCATCATCAGTCGATGAACGAAGCGATCGAAATGAATTGACAATGGCAACAATACTATCATAAAAGCATCCTGGTGCATACTCTCCAAATACCTGGATGATAGCCTTTTCCTCAGGCACATGACGAGTTATGAACTCGTTCACAACTCTGAGGTGCCGCGCAGTTAACACTCTCCGAGAGGGCTGACGTTGACAAAATACGAACTGTTCAGACTAACAGGTGAAAGCGAACCGATGCTCCGACCGAGCGATGAGGTCTCAAAGTCTTCCAAATCCTTCTGCGTGTGAGTCACAACATGCAGCACTAAATCTGCGAACCCCTTGCGCTGTTCTTCGTAGGACTTCCGCATTTTCAATGTTATTATATATTACGCGATTCATCTTTAAATTGTTGAAGATTCTGCTTGCGTGGGTCGAAAGTGAGGCCAGCCGACGTTTGTACCTCTCAACAACCGAAGATCGAGAGGTCTCGATCGCCCGTGCGTCTTTCGCTTGTGAAGAAACAGAAGTTGCCGTTATCTTTGGATTTTTTGGCTTAACGAAAGGCGAACGGACAGCGTTAACCTCATATGTAGTGTACGTGGACACGACTTTCCGATGCTGTGAAGCAACGGGCTCCGATTTCTCAAACTCATTGACCGGCAAATGACTTGACATCAATGCTTCTTCCTTGTGATGGATGCTCACGACTGGTGGATGGCCTGCCGTCCCTTGTGCTGAAGGCACGATGGGCTCGCTTTTCATATTCACGACGTCCTGAATGTCCAACGGGAAAGAGATATTGCAAGAAACGATTGAAGAAGAAATGGCACTCTCAATAGTACTCACCTGAACAGGACGTGACCGCTGCCTGGGATGCGAATCAACTATCTCAGGTAGCGAAACTGTTCCTTGCGACTCTTCTTAGCCTTGGATTTAGCAATGCGGTGCGATCGGCGAGCCATAATAAAGGGGACAGTAATGGAATAAAACTTCTGAAAAACTGTGCAAAATAGTAGATGTCAAAACACAGCACAATAATGAGAAGAAGTGAAGAGAGTAGGAAAAGCCCTGTGATGGAACACCAAAACTATAAAACGACTGCAGGAGCGATGACGAGGATGTTACAAGTGGCGTGTGTCGGCTGAATCCTACTAACGTTGCGAAATGCCATTGCCGACCGACGGTAGACGACGGGTCCTGCGACGACGTTCTGCGTACTGTTGGTGTCGGCCTGTGTACATCTTCTCCACCTAAGGCGATCAGCCGCTGAAACGATATACTAGCACGAGGATACACGCAACCGTTCTCACCAGAATGATGAGAATAATGCGTAAAAAGGAACAACACGTCGAGGAATAAGAAACCGGCATGGAAAGAAAGAGAAAATGGGAAGAAAGGAAAGAAAGGAAAGTGCAAATAACCGCAGTTAAACTATTGGAAGGAAATTGAACTAAATAGGAGAGAAACGCATTATACAGAGGAATTAACTAAAGCTCACCTCGAGTGCCTCTTTTTGGCTGCTCTTGGAAGCTGAATTCTCGTTGGAAGCAACGGCGTCCCTGATTTTCCTTCTTTGACGTAGCTTGGAATCCCTGTTTATCTCTCTCCTGACTTGAAAAATTACGAGCATTGTCCTTTCCCGCAGCGCGCTGAACGTCCAGCTTGTCTGCAGAATCCAAGTCCTCGAGACGCACATTAGCGCAGAAAGAAAGATGAGAGCGGATATGAATACTTTACTTTACCATACTTTTTTAGATCTTCTGATCTAAATTAGCTAGCTAATTAGCTAGCTCTAGCTTACCCGACCAAGAGCCGAAATGCCGGTTCCAACTTCCAGAAAACCGAACGTCAAAAGGTGCTAGCCAAGAAACCAACCTCCTGCGGTTTCATCAGCGTTGCCATACCATTCGATTCCGTCAAGAATAGGGGACCATTGAGACACCATCGATAGTCGTGAGATAAGAATAACGCGGCAAACAAAATTCGAAGCACGTAAAAGAAATGAATGGCGGAGGTCCACTCGTTATGGGGAGGCGCTCATTCGGTTGTTCAGCTTAGGTTTTCCCTCGCGGATTTCCAACGCTTCCAATATCTTTCTGACACCGATTTCATTTTTGTAGGCTAAGCTTTGCATTTGATACCAAAATCACTGCTTTGATGTTCTTCCATCGAGGCATCCCCAGTGACGTGACTAGGCTTCTAGCATCAGCATCCCTCCCGTCTCCCCAATATTTATCCCGTCACAGACTGAACACTAAATTTGGTACACTTTCCCTCGCTGTGTGCAATTTCCGTCTTTTCCAAATGGACAAATACCGCAGTTATTCGTAGAACATGCATGATCATAAAGCATATTGCGGATTAGGTGACGTTTTACATTTTACGCTGGTAGGTTTATCAAAACATCGTAATTCGTCAAATCCGCTCAGCCATTGCATTGTAGGATTTCCGACTTTGTCTGATATAAACTAAGCCGGCGATGCACCATGTTCTCACGATTCTCAGGCGAACAGCTTTAGGACCTATTTTCTGCATTGCCCCGTAGCCCTTCAAGCTTGCAATCTCAGATGCTAGTTTCTCGTTCCACTTTGCCTGTGCGCACTTCTGCTGCTGTTGTGTACATGTTACGAACTACAGCACGTTTCACAGCTTCAAAGTAAGCAGACTTTGCGTGGAGCAAGATGTTCTTCGAGCTGGCCTTGAATATCACTTCACTTTCCTATTAAGATGTTTATCTGCGTGTTAAGATATGGTGGCCAGCCTTCTATCGGAACCTCTCGCTATATTTACTGAGACTGTCGGTTGAGGATGTCAAACAACTCATACACTCTTGCCGCGTTGATGTATAATATGAGGTTGGCAAGAAAGTCCTGCGACGTGTATTTAAAGCAAATCTTCGACGTGGGTTGTCCTTCTGTAAGGGCCTGACTTACGGTATCAATTGTCCTTCTCTAACCCCGTTGGCCAAATAAAGGGGATTATAGGGTAAGCGATAGCTGTGCCCATCTAGTTCGTGTTTAGCAACTTACAGGATGCATTCCTTCAGCCTCCATTAAATTAGGGACGATGCTTGCGTTACTCCGAAGGGTAGTATCTCCTGCGGTGAAGCGATCTACTGTTGATCGGTGAGCAGTGCTAGCATCGAATAGGTTGCCGATGATTTGAGCCGCTACACCCGCGTATTTTCCCTTGGCCTGCTTAAAAAGGTGATGGTATAAATCGGGTGATGTCCATTCATTGACCGTAATGCTGCGAAAACCCACACGCGTGCCCCTATTTACTCATGTGTTAGTTACCCAGGGAATGTCCTTTATGTCTATCACCATTGCTACTGTGTTCACACTGTTCAACGCTTCACATTTTTTTCGCAGAACTTTCTTGCCAACTAGAACTATGCTACAATCACCGAAGTACCATTATCATGTCTTTCTACTCTGCTCATGAAACAGATAGGTAAACAGGTGCTAGCCGCTGACCCATAGCAACTCCTCGCTTTTGGGAGAAGTAATGCCCGCTTCACTTGAAAATATTATAATCAAGGCATTCCATGATCAGAGCCATAATGTGAACTTTGCTCAATCCGAGCGACACAATTTCTGTTTCACGCTCATCCAGCACAGCATTTTGGAGACGCTTGGGGAGCTTGCTGTTGGTAACGTTCGTATAAAGGGCGCGTTCGTATAAAGGGCGCATCCTAGTTACATCAGACGACGCTAGTACGCAGTTTTCTTGCATTGCAACCTACACGAACGCAGGCGATCTAGAGATTGTTTGGTGCTTGGTAGATGTGAGGGTAGGTATCGAATTAGTTGATCGGTTGATAGAGGAACCAGAAAAAATGGTTCTTCTGCTCTCCTACACAGCTGATGATAGGTTCATCTAAAATCGGTAGCATTAGCTGAGTTCTCGCGTCTGTAGGACAGCTTGTGAGCCTTGATCAGGCTATAGAAAATCAAGCACGAGGGTGTATCCAACTTCAATCTTATGAGCAACCTTCATCCAATTCTGTCATCGTTTCGATCGATACACACAAAACATTCAGCTTGTGACATTGGCTGAGGAACATCTCTTTTATGAAACGGTTTCATCTCCATTTTTTAGCAAATAGCGCTGTAAAAAGGCTCTACAATAGATATCATGTAAGGGGTGCACATACATATTTGTACAGGTTCGCTGTTCGTTGAGAGAGAAGGCCCCTCAAAAGGGGAGAAACTCCGTTAGGTTAGAGCTTTTAGCTCAACGATTCAATGCTGATATTGGCTGACCGGCTCACCACGTTCTACGTGTACTGATAAGCTATGGGATAAAAGGTCTTAAAAAGGGGAGGGCAAGCGGAGTCTCGGTAGTGGAATGGATAAAAGCACATGGTCCGAAAAGCACAAATACGGGTGCGAGTCCCGTCCGACGTCGAAGTTTCGTCGATAACTAGTCAACCTTTCGAAGTTCGCAAGACCTCTCAGATACTTGTTTTGCGCAATCCGAGCACAAAGCTTTGCGAATTGAGCTTTCGATACACATCATTTTATATGTTATCAAACTGACCTAATGGCCCATTGACCCTTACCTGTCAGTGTCAGCAGAAAAATTACTTTATGAGGCATAAGAATCTTTGCAAAGAGTGCTAGTCATAGGAAACCTAATTGTCTGCGAAGTCAGCAGAAGGCTTGCCAAGACAGCCATAGCTATGAAGAATAACACGGGATGGGACTCCTTGCCCAGAAGATTAAAAGAAAGGAGTTCGTTCTTAAGCTGTGCAATGTCTGGCGTCACATAGCAGTCGATCCAATCATGTGATGATATCAGCCGAGGAAGAGAAATGAGTTTCGGAAGACCTAACTAACACGTGGCTACGAATGCCGAGTATAGCAGCAGCAATCCACATTGTGTTGTTGTCCACAGAGAAAACGCCCAAAGGCGATTGAATAAAGCCGGTATGACCCGGTTTCAAGCAGTCAGATTGTTCCGGTAGCTGTTCATGTCTATGTTCTGGTGACGAGTTTTAATCCAAATTGTTTGGTCTAAAATTGCACCTAGGTACTGAGGCATGAAGGCGACGAAAGAGACAGCGACTTGGCTTCTCGATTCTCGAGGCAAGGCTGTCATTATGATTGCTATGGTGGGACATAGAGAAATTAATAAATATCACCGTGCGGTGTGCAACTGTCACTTACAGTAAGCTCTTCACTTTCTTGCTATGTAATGGATTCATAGTGAAAGAACTCTCGTATGGTTATCTAAAGGACTCCCTCTACATTTAAGGCATCGCAAAATGGAGTTATGCAACGAGTTGCAACCAGATCCAAACAGCGTCTGGGAGCTGGTTGTTGTCGTGTTTAGATAGTGAATGCTCACTTCTGAAATGAGTATGTAAAATGGTTCTATATCAGGGCGAGACTGAACAGAGTTACGAACATTAAAGGCACTGTTCACGAAAAAATGTTTCGGAGATTTGCACATGGTTTGAATTCGACGCCCCCTCTGATACCATTTGTGCAGGAATGAGGTCGGAAAACGGTCTGGATAGGGCGCAATAAGGGCAGGAACAGTGGGGACGGGAGGCCTCCTCCCCTCGCTGGGCTGACTACGAGTTCTAATTGTCCTTCACCACATTCGCATTGGAGCGAAGTTGTCTGCTTGGGTGTGTTGTCTGCTATTGCAGACATTGCGTCGCCTTCGTGCACTCGCCCGAACACTCCCTTAACCGCCGTTCTTCCAATGTGGAACTCGTCCAACCCCTCTTTCCGCTCTTTTTTGGCCCTTTCTATTTCTTTTTGTTCATCGTTTTTTGCGCTTTTTTCGTTGTTATCGCTTTATTCTAGAGTAGTTCTATGAATTCCCTTCAAAAAAGGGTATCCTAAATTTATCGTAAACGGTGCCTTTAAGATGTATGAACTACCAAGCACGGGGCCATATCAAGCTAACGACAGAAAGCACACTGGTCTCTGCAACAATTTGAGCACGTGCTGAGACCACAGAGGATCCAACGAGAAGCACAGTGGACATCGAAGTTAGAGGCGAGCGATCTGAGCTACTTCCGAAAGTGAACAATTTCACCCAAAAAGACCCTACTGAGATTCCCATCCGATGTAATGCATGAAATATAAGAAGATGCCCCAGATAGGATACACCTAGCAAAAACTTCAATCTTGCGAAGGCGCTGAATTAATGCATCGGATACAGAATGAAGAGTTGTCCCTTATCTCCAAACAGCATGCCCAACTTGTTTTAGCTGTAACTGGAATCTACTGGAATTTTATCCACAACAATTAGTGCCAATTCCGAGGCGAACCGAGCGCTCATCGCTCCTTCTTCGATAATACCACCCACATGCTATCGCAACTCCGTTGTCCATCGATCGTTTTCGTTTTCATTCACACTTCCTTGGCGCGATCAGTCCCTCCCTGGCTCCCGATTTCTCGATATGTTTTCTTAGAGGTCAATTTCATGACAAATACTGTTGATCATTCGCAGAATAACTTTTCTTGTTACTCATTTAGTACATGTGGGTTTCATTGACACACCTGTTTACGTTAATATTTTTTTATTTTCAGGTAGAAACTTCATGAACTTGTTCGATTTGTAGCCGAGATATGTCGGAACCCAAGAAAATTGTCGTTTTCGGGAGTATTGTGCAAGATCTGGTTAGGTACACGGATTTATTTCTCAACGAAATTTCCATCTCTTCGGCAAACGTTCTCAATATGACACTGAAATTGATAACCCGGTTCTCTAACCTCCCATTTGTAAGATCCATCGATTGAAAGTCATTGTCAGAGAGTCAGAATTGTTCCACCGCCATTACGTCGTCATCACTTTGAAGTAATTATTGAACTATTTTGGACTGAACTAAAAGTTGATAGTTTTTATATGGTCGTCAAAGTAAGCTTGGTGGAAAGTTAGTTGGCTTTACCGGCTTTTGATTTCTATCTAGCAGTCAGTATAAACTTTGCAAACTTAAAAACCTAAAAGAAGTTTACAGAATGAATGGAGCTTTAGCAGTTTTTAAGATATGAGCTATATCATGAGGTACGAATGACAATTCTTAAATCACCAGTGCACACGTATTGGTTCGTACTTTGTGTCTCACTGTTTGTTCTAATCGGAAATTTCAGTTTAGCCAAGATTGCTTGCTTGTTTCTGCTTACAATCAGTTCCCGCGGTTTTGCGTATTCCAATGCTTTAGTGCCCACTCCAAGTTGAAAACGCCAAAACGGACTTGCATTTGTTAGCTACATACGCTTACTACTTGAAGGCACAGTTCACGATAATTTTGAGGTACCTTTCTAAATCGAAACGAAAGTGTTGATCGAATGTAGTATACTGGTAGCAAAGAAAACGAAAAATATGACGACTTCATGAGGAAGAAATCTGCCCAAAGTGAAAATAGGAGTGATACGAGACTATATCGACGGTAATGGCATGGAAGGGGTATTCGGACGAAATTTCAGTTGTTGCATTTACGCAAACAGCTGGCTACATCAAGCCAAAATTGTCCAAAACTGCCTTCCACTACCGTCTTGGGTCACGGCAAATTGTTTGAAGTTTCTACATAAATCCCCTTCTGAATGGTGCAGCCTTTACAACTCCGTTAAAGCTCGCCTGCCAGGAGTGTGATAGTCAGGCGATACAATCTCTGAGCCTTTATAGCACCTTTCTAGGCCGTTTTCCGGCCTAACAGCGCCACATATGGTATAAGAGGGGCTACAGATTTATCCGTGATATCTCAGAAGCCAATTTTATCGTGAACTGTGCCTTTAAGTATGTTGATAACACTAAGTTCTGTACAGAGAAATAGTGAACCTGACCCATAGCTAAATGTTCCTCATTCCCTCTGTATGTTCATAATGAGTTATTATAGTCAGAGTCCCTTTCATAACCCATATGAACTAACTATTACACGCCATTCTTCCTTTGGAAAATTGATTGCAAGTGAAAAAGGGGAAAACTAGGCTTTTCTGGTAATCCACAAGTGCATATCCATTGTGAGTGCTGCTCAATTGTTCGTGAAATCAGCTCTTTGAATAGTATCAGCTGGAATCGTTTCTCAGATATGGGTATTCGAGTGACCGTCATGCAGTACAGATCCCTATTTTGGAAGAATTAAGGCTCCGACTTAAACGACTTCAACCAATCATAAGAAGGACTGTCTTGTTCGGTGATTGCTTTTTTCGAAAATAAACTGCAAAAGGTCATGACACATACATATGTATAGGGGGCTTCGTATAACCAAAATACCCAGAAGAACAAGAATTACTGTAAAGATAATGAAAGCAAATTGAACTTATATGTATTATCTTTAAAGGTACAGTTTACGATAAAAATGGTTCTTGAGATTCCTCTATAGTATGAATTCGAGGCTCCCTCTTATATCATACCTATCGTTAAAATGTGCTGGATGGAGCACAGTAAGGAACCAGAGATTGTATCGTGTGAATGCCAGGACTGGATGTCTGGACGAGTTTGAACAGCTCCGTAGAGGCTGCGCTACTGATAAGGGAACCAGCGTAGGAAGTCCAAGCAACTTTTCATAACCCGTAGCGACAGTGAAAAGCAATTTTGGACAGTTATGGTTTGATGTAATCAGCTCTTTGCACGGTGGGAGCAAGTTAAAATATAGTCTAAGAACTCCGTGCATGACATTCCAAGCTTCACTTCCACTACTTTCAAAAAACTTGTACAAGAGGTATTGTCTCGCTTTCTTCACCACCGATGTATTCCTGTACATCAACACTTCCGCTTTTCAACCTAAAACGGTAACCACAAAATTATCGTGAACTGTGCTTTTTAGGTGATTTTATTCTCTGCTGATGAAAATTCAACCTCTTTACCGCACTGAAATTATTCCATTGTTCAATGAACTTTCATACGCTATTTCCGAAGGGACCGTATCCAAAAGTGCAACCGTGTGTCATGGATAAATATATAACAAACCAAATTTCCAGAATGCAGAGGTACTGTGCATCGAAAAGCCGAACTCCTAGTACTCATGAATGAGCGTACATGCATTGCATTGAATCCATCAGTGTGAAGAACACTATGGGTAACGGCACTTCTCTCCGATTGCGGCATTCTCCCTTGCGGCATGCGGCAAATGTCACTGTTATTACCGTACTCACCCCGCCTCCCCGCCAATCGGTACTACCCAATATTTTCGTCGATTGCCTTTAGTTTTGATAGCTTTTTTTGTTTCTTTCTCGTTTTTATGTTTATTAGACTTGGTTATATAGAACAGCTCCTCCTATATTAGCGACAATCGAGACCCCGCACTGGAATTGAAGAGAGCTGCCGGCCCATTCAAATAATTAAATGACTCCCTATCTCACAAATTGCGCGCTCCAATCTTCCGCAATCCTGCGATACGTGGCGGGTGCGGCATGCGCGACGCCGCTTTCGGGGAGAAGATTCCGGGGACCCAGTACACTATACACTCCACATAGCAGTCAGATTGCAGGAGGCAATGACCACAAATTCGTTGAGAGTATACTTTAAAATTCGTCTACAAGGAACCTGAATCTGTCTTGTATACGCTGAAACGTCTGAGTTCAAGCGTATTTGCGTAACTGGTGAACTTCAAACTACGTCCCATCGATTGGCTACTTGAACACATCGAGGAAGAAGTTTTTATAACTTTGGCTACGAAATTGTTGTAAGTAAGAAACCCTGCTCAAAGAAAATTCCCTTGGGTAGGTGTTGTGCGAAACATTGGCATCTTTCATAGTCCACGACCGGTCGCCAGCAACCGGTCGCTCGACTGGTCGCTCGAGTGATCGCGCCACTGGTCGCTCGATCGTCGAGGAGGCCGCGTTAGTTATGGGTGCCGCCGCGGACGGTCCCGCGCGATCACTCGAGCGACCGGTCGCTGGCGACTGGCGACCAGTCGCGCGACCTGTCGCGCGACCGGTCGCCGGTCGCTCGTGAGATGGGTCGCGCGACCGGTCGTGGACTATGAAAGATGCCATTCTTGTTGTGCTGTCACTTCCTGTTCCAATCCATCACAAGAAAGTGTGTTAGTAGTTATAAGGACATTTGCAATTTAATTTTAACGGCAATTTTTTTTCACAATATTTTTAAACAGTTATCCATTTCTGGCAATTGAGTTTGATTTCACTTTTTGCTCAGTTACACGAAGTCGTTTCCGCGACCAGGTGAAAGCGTGCGAGGAGATTCGTTCCAAATGGGAAGCGGTGGAAAAGGAGCAAATCAAGCCGTAGCAGCCTCCAGACTCGGCGCGAGTGTACAGCTTATAGGGAGGGTGAGCACTTTTTATTACCGTAGTCGAGAGAGTCGTAATACAACCACCATGTGACTAATGATCATTGGAACCCTTAGTCACATCCACTAGCGGACGTTCAATGCTTTGAAGTGAATAACCCCTCTAAGTTGTTCACCCTGAACATCAAGAAGGAACGCATAGCATCAGATTTTCTCGGACCCTCATGTTGTGGGTAGCAATTGGTTAATGTAGAAGTGTTGGGAGCCAGAAGGTCGCAATGTGCTCCTTAGGCTCCTCATGACTCAATGGTTGAGCTGATTCGAATCTCTTCCACAGCTTTCTTCTTCACATTGGCTTAGGCTCGTGCTGCTTCATCCTGAAATAAACTGATATTCGTGCATGATAGACTTCATCATTCGGACGAAACACTTTCATCGGACAAACATCTTAAACGGTTCTGACACGATCGTTCGTTGAGACTTACATCCGTAAGCCATTACCCAGGCAGAAGAGGGAAATGGAGGAGGGCCTCCCAAGAGATGTTGCCTTACTAGTGATCGAAAAAACTGGTAAAGCTTTGAATACCTAAATGGCCTGATCACTTAAGTTGCCTCGCAAGGTTACTCTGAAAGAAGAGGAGAGGAGATAAAGAGTGTAATTTGCTTCTACGTACGCGTTATCTATCGCTGGATGGTTCGAAGATTGGCCCTGCTTTTTGATCATGTGCGTGCCCTGAGGTCTCGAACTTCAGCGTGGCAATGGAGATGGTCGATCGGTTACGCTCAAATTGTTACGAACCTTTCAGCCTTTGAAGAATGCAGTTCCTCCAGAGGCCAGTATTACATAAAATATGCTGATACTTAATAATATGTGTGTTAGTTAGATGATAATATGTATGTTAGTTAGATAAAAATTCATATTATGATTCATTCATTTCCAAGAGCCAAATTTTCCGGTGTTATGTTAGGCATGATCACGCACGCATTCCAGACGTCTGTCCGGCTTCACACCTTCACTTACAACTATTACTGTAGTGTGATCGAACTGAACTTTAATTATCAATCAGTGGGCGTCTGACCAAGCTTCTGCTCCGCTGTTTCCATGAGCCCAAATTGAGAACCCAACAAGACCTCGTTCAAGGCGGGCTGGGCGTGCGAAGTGGGTCGGATGTTAATGGTGTGTAAGGTCGGAAACCAATAGGCTCCTTTTATTCCGTACCAGTACTCTGAATAAGAAAGTCGTTCAGGTGTTAGAAAATATGGAAGTGTTGCAGGCGGAGTGCCAAATTTAACAAGAAAAGAAGAAGAAAGAAGAAGAGCCAGGCGTCAGCCCGGCGATCCGACTGGTTTTTTGCCTCTGATTTGCCAGCTGTATACCCCCTCCCAAGTGTATCTTTTACCCTTTTATTGGGAAACCCTCAAAGGTAATGCCTTTTTGCTCAATGAAGGCTGGGAAGATGAGGGTTTTTACGTGAGACTTCGGTTGTCTGAGAAGCAGAAAATATCTCGCTTCTATAGTGTAATGGCGATCATGTATGTTTTTGAAGGTGATCTTGATATTACGCTATCTGCCGACTCAAAATTTTAAGGTAGGAAATGATACGTTTGGTGAGTCGAACATCGAGAACTTGCGAAAAGCTGGAGTAGACATTAGCCAAGTGGAGAAATCCGACAGCAGTCATACTGCTACTGCCACCATAACTGTTAACGCACACGGTTCGTTAGATCCTGGTTTTTTTTTAAATAGAAGATGTAACTCGTAGTGACACCAGTGATAGCATTTTTGAAGATGGAACCGGGAATCACATTATATATTGATTGTGAGTGTATTTCTTTTTGCAGGCGAAAACACGATTGTAGTGACCTTGGGTGCAAATTTGGAGCTAGACGATGAGTGTGCCGAGAGACACGAGAAAGCCATCAGTAACGCCGCAATTGTGATGGCTCAAGCGGAGGTTTCCCGAAAAGGGAACAAAAAGGCGTTTGAGTTAGCAAGGAAGCACGGAGGTGGGTGACTGGACATAAAAGTCTTGAAAATGAGGTTGAGATCTAAGATTTAAGTGATGACTTTTTTCAATCCGGCACCTGGTGTACCTGACACGGACATGTCCATGGTGGCACTTAGTGACATTATTTGCACGAATGAGAACGAAGTGAGTGTAGCTGTGCAACTATAATTTTTCAAGATCAAGTGATTAGTATTACCCATCTCAGGCTGAATTTATTACAAACATTCCTCAAAACACAGTGGAAGATGCTGAGAAAGCAGCTGCACAGATGATAACTATGGGACCAAAGCATGCCATCGTCACGCTGGGAGCTAAAGGTCCGTTCTGCTTATGTCCATTGTTTTCAGGAAACCTGATTATGTTTCGTAGTGTTCTAAACGGCATCGAATTTTCATCACTTTTAATTTGTTCACTTCGATATAGGGCTGATACACTCATTTTTTCAGTAAGAAAAAAAGGGAAAAGAAAATGAAACAAAAAATGAAAAGGCTCCAGTGAGACATCTCAGTCTCAACATAAGAATGAGAGCTCGGCAGCGGCAATCCATGTGGTCATGACATGAAATACGACAACACTCTAGAAAGCCGAACGCTCCTCTGAACTGTTCTTGAGTGCTTCAACACTGAGGGGGAAAGTTCATCTCTTCGATATAATCTGCACCAGCTGACCATGTTGTAAAGAAACGAAATCTCAAGTTGTGTCTAGCACTGGCGAGCATATTTGATGGATTTTGGATTAGATTTTCTGAAGCATTGCTGTTGTATCTGCCTTTTGCGGAATGAGAATTGAGACCCTATATTCAACAGCAGGTCTGACATACGTCTTGTAGGTGTCTATCTGCGCTGCTGCATCATTCGCTGGAAGAACTTTGAACAACTAGTAACTTCAGTGCTGACCTTATGAGCGATATATCTACAATAGTCGTCAGAATTAAAATTTTTAAAGTTAACAAGTTGACGAAGCTCAATTCTGGAGATCGACTGTTGAGAGGGGTGCCATGAATGTAATAAGGAAACTGCCTGCTCTTTGACGCCGCCAGAAGAAGCTCTTTGTGAAGTCAAAAAATTCCAGTAGCCAATCCTCTGAGCGATATTGCATGCCCATTCATAATAATCGAACTTTTTCGCTTACCCTTTCCAGTGCAAACCTGCTAAGCAGTGCAGAACATATTCCTAACAACCGCTCATTTCTCGAAAAAGGAAAAGCTGAGGGATAATGGACAATGATATTCTTATGTACATGGAACCGCTTGTTATTCAAAGTAAATACCCATCAAGGACTCAACTGTTAGGCAACCAAAGCCTTGGGCGGTACTCAAAATGTCTCGAGTGATAACAATACCACTATTACATGTCGCTATCAATGGGCCTTCTTTTTTACAGAATTATATGTACTAGAATACTGTATCCTGTTCAGGAGTCGTGTTGGCATCAAAAGGAAAACAAGAAGTCGAGCGCATCCCTGTCAGAAAAGTGAAGGCCGTCGATACTACGGTTGGTGACGCACTGTTTTTTTCGCTTTACTTCGGGTTAGTGCGATGAAGGTGCGAAATGCTGACACCATGCATTTCAATAGGGAGAGTGACATCACAATGTCCAGAAGATCTCCGTCAGCTTATTATTAATGAGCTATTCTAATTGAATACGTAAGAGCTCAAAAACGTTAAATAGTTACACGCTTTCTGCACCGTAATAGGCCACCATGAGGCAGATCTCCTCTGCAAATTTCTTAACACCTTACTATGAGACCAGCAACGCGTATCTGTGAGCAATGCTTCCTTTCTGCTCCTCGTTGTCTTTGTTTGTTCTCCGGATATTTGCTATGATAGGACGGCTTTGTGTAGCCGATCTCAGAGCACAGCGTCTACTTTAGAAACCCTAAAATTGTTCTCATTTCATAGTTTACCCAAACAATCGCCCTGACTGCATTACTTTTTAAAAGCCTAAAAGAGGGGATTCTGGCTGAGAATATTACCGCCGTTGAAAAGGAGTCTGTATTTGAAATGGGCGTGTGTTTCAAATTTCCTAGGATGCAGACATCGCGGAACTCCTTAACGCGTAACTTCTAACTTGGTGACTGGTCCTCGGAAGTTCGTTCAAATCGAGTTCCATCCAAGCGGTGCTTAAGCTTACAGTCGTGAAATGGTTCGCTGCCTTCGTCAGTTCACCATCAGTCTATAGTGTATGCCCAGTTTCACTAATCCGCGTAATTAGCAGGTAATTATTGGAGATGATAATCTGAGCTATCCAATGAATATTCTGATTAGAGGTCCGAAAGCTGTGACTCAAATAGATCACTTACTGCCGTTTCCATGCCATAGTTACGAACTTTCTCCCCCCAAATGGTTGTTCTAGGAAGCAGAGCACATTATAATTATAAGGGGCAACAGTCCGAGAGTGTGACTGATTGTGGAGATGAAACCAAGCGAGGTCGCTATGTTCTTGACGGGTATTTCGAGAAAAGTGCGTTGCGATTCAGCAGACACCGTGGTTAAGGTTGTCCGAAGTAGGAAACTCTCAATTGACAAGTAATTGTTTTTTGTGGACTTGATAGGTTTCTTGAGCTTCTTTCCTTGCAAACATGAAGTGCTCAAATTCAAAGAGATTCAAAGAGATATGGGAATTTGAAAAGGTGAAAGTAGCACCCTAACGGATAGGGGAGCAAAGCTTTTTGATAAATTTTGCTGCGCCATGAAAAGTATTTCTGTGAAAAAGCTATGAACTCCATATTTAGGGTGCTGGCGACTGCTTCTGCGGATCGCTCGCATACTTCTTGATCGGTGGCAGGTTTTCAATGTCTGATGCTATCAAGAAAGCTGCCGAAATAGCAGCGTTATCCGTTCAACGAAAGGGAACGCAGTCGTCCTACTGGACTCGAAAAGAAATTGAACACGAATTACCCGATCTGTTAAGATGAAGTTTGTTGTGACGCAGCAGTCGGTTCAGATTTTCTCTTTATTTTGGAATGGAAACGAATAAAAATGTACAGCTAACAACGCTGATCTTCTCAAAAAAAAGCTCTCTACCATTCCAAATCCAAGTATGATTTGAGGAAACTTTCATGAATTTCTGTAAACATCAGATCGCAGTGTCGAATTTCATAGCGGAGAAACTGGAATCAGTTTCGGCATAAGTAAAAACTAATCAACAACAATACTAACTTTACATCAAGAACAACCTCTCGTTCGTTGTTTACCCCATGTTGATCTCCCTTCAGCTTGTCGAATTTGGCGCATATTTCCTCGATGATGTTGAATTTGGATTCGATCAAATGCAGTAGTCTGGCTTCAAGCACGACGCGATGGCCATACTTGATGTTCCGCTCCTGAATGACAACAGTCTCTTTGAATCTTTTCCAACCAATCGAGCTAGTTACAGGTCAACATTTCTGGTCCTTTCAGATGATGAAGTGGTGGTGCACCTTTTCATTTGAAAGCCTTGATGTCATCACTATCATGTCAATTTTTCCATTTTTATTCTTTTTTCCTTGTGGTCCGTGATCAATAGAGTCACATTTTTTTATCAGTCCTTTCATAGGCGATTGTAATGTGTTAGGCTAGCATCTTGTGGAAAAAATCAAATATATATATAAATATATATAACGAATCTCGTCCCACTTACTTTATAAGTCGAAATATGCAAGCAATGGTCGATGAAAGCAACTTCAAATATTATCTCGTTCTGTTTGACCGCTTACAGGACTTCTTAACTAATCCGTTTTTTGAAGAGGGGTGCGTAAAAAATATTATACACTAATTACAGTACGTATACTACTACTGCAGTGAAGGCCCAAGTACCCTCAGAAGGAATTAAAAACGCCCTAAGGGAGCCATCATATTATAAGTCCATATTTCGCCTTTGAATTGAGCACAAAAACGGTAGTGATTGTCAGACCCCCTATCATTGCAGGCTTAGGTGAATTTTGAGAATAAGGCAATTTACAGACATCTTACAGGTTATACTTCTGAAACTCCTAAATTGCCCAGAACTATTGCTATCCACGTGTTTGATGCATGATTGAAGAACGTCGACCACAGACTATTCCTCAGCTAGCGGCATTCACCACAAATGCAAAGTATCGAAATGGTGGCCTGGTAATACATACCACATGCTCATCCCAGATTTCAAATCCTTGGCACGCCTTGTCTAGTAGTTCCGTTAGTATTTCAAACCTTAAGACATTCAAGTGTCAGTTCGCGAGTGCAGTAAAGTCGGCTTTGTTATTTTACCTGTCTTCCTCAAGACTTCTATCTTCTCTCGGCAAAGCCCATAACGTTGATTCTAACACTTTAATACGGCGTTCCAATTCAATGTACCGTCGTGCAATATCCTGGTGAAAGTATACTAATAAGCGTGTAATGGTACGGTATGAATTTCGGAAAATAATAACTACTCACTGGGATGTACTTTCTAGCTGCGCAATCGGGCAGCTCCTTCATGTCTTTGTAGTAGGTCGTAGGCTTCGTTTTGAGTTCTTCGTAGAATTCGGGACTTTCGAGTGGAGCTATAACTGAATTGCAGTTTGCGTTCTCGTGAGTGATGCTGTTCTCGGTTCGCTGGCGCTTATTAAAGCATGAGCGAACCGAGAACGAAGAAGCGAACAGGTGCCCCTACCCTTCCAGAACTCAGTTTAAAAACTAATTCCTCTGGCTGAAACCGCATAAGGGTGCACTGATGGCCGTTGTCTATACTCATGTTCGTCTCCGATACCGTGCTAGTATACTTATGCTTATACGAATCGTCTTCACTCATGTACGAGCACCAGCAACAAACCATTCGCTTCTGTCTCTCGCGATCGTCATCGATGGTAGGCTCAGAATCCGACGGAGATGACGACGTGATCAATAGTCCATCTGCATTCGCAGCTATTTTATGTGATCGACGAGCACATCCCATCATCTCGCCCTAGTCCTACCCTTAGAATGTGAAGATCCTACGGGAGCTCACCCAAATGTTCTTCTTGCTCATCTGCCATCAACTCTTCCCATGATTTGACGGGCCCACCCAAGTTTGGCGTTTTTCATGAATTCCACCAAGTCGCGGAGGTGAGACATTCCGCGCATATCGCACTGCGGAGTCCGGCTCGATGTTGAATGTGCCAGTTGAACCTCAAAAGACATCGTTTGAGTGCACTGCGACTTGTGCTCAAGGCCCTTGACGTGGATGCATTAATCACCGAAATCTCCAACCCGTAACAGAGCGCAGGAAGAACTTCAGAACTTTAAAGTTCCGGATCAGCTAGATGGTCAGTTACCTCTTTCAGAGGTTCGAAGGCTGCTTTCTGTCGTCTCACAAAATCTTCCTTCCTGTCATTGTCCATATTTATGGATCGCGTGAGATGAAAGTAAGACGAGGTCTCCTTGATAGGTGTACCATCTACTTAATTTGACCTTCGTCAGCCCAAGCATTTTCATGAACTAAGTCTTTGTTTGGTTGATCCACAGCCCAACCTTCCTTCCTGCTTTGTTGGGTTCAGCAAGCATACTCTCAGCTTCTGCAACTTGATACGAGAACGATGTCGTCCCCAACTCGTAGACTTAGTAGGAACCATCCATCCACACCAATGCCCCTTCGTGGCAGTCTAGCAAATTCATAATCCAATGCAGCGCGGCTGTGAATAGCTTCGGCGAAATAGTGTCGCATTGNCTCAAACCATTCAATATGGGAATTGAGAGAGGTCGTTGGAACAGCTTTACCGTCGCGCTGCAGCGATTACTGCAGTCAGCAAGGGTTCTTCTGTAGGGAGGGTTCACTCCTTGGACGACCACTGCTGACAGGACCGCATTCGTTTCGACACTGTCAAAAGCTTTATCGTAGTCAACGAAGGTAAGGAAAAAAGGCATTCGCATATGGTTTGAGCAGTTGAATCCCTTCCGGAATCCTGCCTGATCTTCACCATATGCGACTGAGAATGATCTTTGTGAAAGGTTCGTAAAGCACAATCAATAAGCTTATAGGGCGGCAGTTGCGAAGATCATCCCAGTCTCCCTTCTTGTGAAATGAAGACCATTCGTGAGTTTTTCCACTGGTTGGAGATCCTATCTATCCTTATGGAGGGTCGTAGTCACTGTCATAGTGTTGCGAAAAGCGTAGGAAGTTCCACCTACTCGATGTAGGCCTGCTGAGATCTTGTTGGAGCCTGGGGTAGTGCCCTTTTCATGCCCGCGATCGCAACTCTCACCTCTCAAACCCAAAGAAGGATCCGAGGTGCTGTTTTGTCAGTGGGGATTTTTTGTTTTCGCACGTGTGTTGTCGTGGATAGTACAGGTTGGGGTGAGACCTCTGTGTAACTTCCTCTATCTCAAATCTCGACTGTGCTAGTATGATACGATTACCGCGACGCGTAGCACTATTAATTTCTTGTTGTACAAACACTGTTATTGTACCCCCCCCCCCCATTCTCAACTACATTTTCACCACGTCTTCAGATCTTCAGATTAAATGCTCCTGTTACCAATACCTGCTCTGAAGATACTCGACTGGTGCTTGTGCCCCCCAGCTGAAAGATGGTTTACCTGATTCATACAACAGCACAGGGCAGATCCAGTGTCAAACTCACTCTATGCACTGCTGCAACCAACTTGTAAGTGTGATGCTTACAAACCCTGATTACAATTTTCACCTGAACATCATATGTCAATCACCCCGAGAGCTCTCAATCAACACACAAGGCTAAGCGGAATCAGGTAAACTGAGCAGTCCTTCAACCCGCCTCATGGTGTAAAACAAAACTGAAAGTCAACTCAAGAGCAAATTCCATCTTTTTGCATAGCTGACAAATTAATTTGCCTCTACTGCGCATACTGGGCAGTCACAATTTTGCTACCACACCAACGATCCCATGTACATCTCTTCGCGAATGTTCGCTCGTGGCTGCTGTGAACAGCTCAACATTTTCCATCTACGCGATCGAGAGAATTTAGGAAATAGCAAAAGTAAGAGTACCATCTAGATTTAGTTCCTTTACTCTGTCGGCTAGCGGATACTCGGGAGCTGGCGGACATTTCGTCAGACTGTCGTTCTCAAAGTCTTTTTCTCGTTCTTTCTCCAACTGCATCTTCTCACTTTCGGTCAATTCGGGCACAATACCCTGCAAATGTTCAGATGAGTGAAGGAGCACTATACGCTCTGATGAAAACCCACATCTCCTCTTTCGACGTGCGGTTGATCCGACATGGCGATGAATAAAATACGAGAAGATGCAATGATGCCTTAAATAAGAGATGCAATAGAGGTACAATTTGAATCAGTCAAAATAATAGTCGTAGATCGGCGATCACTGTTCGCTTCCAGAAGTGGATGAGCGGTTGTTGTTGATTTTTGTTATCTTCACATCATTATTACATAGTATTTACATGTATATATGAAGACTGCACAAAGTAGCATGCATGTTGATACGTTGGTCACTCATTCAGAGACAGATGACGCTGGCTTTTTCCTAGGTGAAAGCGGCTTCCTTCAATGTCAACATCGTCAGATGTGAAAAAATCTAATAATGTGCAAGGTAATAGTGGCTCATGAGAAAACGTTCCAGCAGCAACCGACAAACCTGAAAAGCGCTCGTATACCTCAACATTGGGTCAGTCAATATAGTTAGCAGGCTTTTGATATATCACCTGTATCACCTGTACTCCCGTTGATCGTCGATTTCCTCGAGCGGGCGCCAGTAACGTCTCCATTCGTCCCTGTCGCGAGCCAGAGTAGTCCAGTGAATCGCACTCGCTCGAGGGACACGGGGCAATACATTCCTTTCGTTCAGAGCTTTCGTGAAGAAGTCTGACCATCTCGTTGGCGGCCGTCCTGGTGTTCGCTTGACGTCCCGAGGGATCCAGTCCGTAACCGCCCTGGTCCAACGGTCATCATTATATCGCATAACGTGTCCGGCCCACCTGATCTTCGATCTCTTGGCGTAATCAACGGCATCCCTGATCTTCGTTCGTCGACGGAGCTCGGAACTCCGGATTCCCTTCTGCACTTGCGTGTATAGGGAAATTCCGAGCATCGTCCTTTCCACAGCGCGTTGAATGACGCTAACTGCATGCTCATCCTGCTTTCGTAGAGTCCAAGTCTCTGAGGCGTATGTCAAAGCAGGAAGTACCGCAGTGTCGAAAAGGTGAGCGCGGAGCCGGATGTTCTTCGTTTTCTT